CCTGCATCAAAATGTAATAATTCAAATTGCGCACTTAATTATGAACATCTTTAAAATATTTAAACAAATAAATACTAACCTTATCGACCTCCCACCATGCAGGATAAAGTTTAGCTTGTCCATTAGCAACACATATGATTCCTGTCGTTGATTCTTCAAGTGAACTACGTGAAAAGACGTCGGCATAATTGTATATCGCGCTTTTTTTTTATATTTTTCTTTAATTTCCTTACAATTAGAAGACGTGTCACCCATGCATCAATATGTTGTTTTACAAAAAAAGAAATATATTAGTGAATTACATAAATTTAAAAAAAAAATCAAACTGAAATATAAGAAGAAATATAAGACTTACCCCCCATCGAAATAGTCGTTGTCTTTAACCCCTAATAATACACCCCACCAAGACCGTTCAATCAACAAATGCATATCATCGTTGAGTTTGTATATGTCAGCGTAACACCCTTGGCTCCGCTCATGTAGATAAAAATCAACTGCGGTATTAGCCCAAAGGGTATTATCCAGAATTGTTTCCGGTAGTTGTTTCTTCTCCACTTCATATACCGAAATGGTACTGGCCGGTAACTTATACGAAAGCCAAAAATCATCCATCATGTCCGGCACGTGAGGGGGCTTCTCAATAATTCGATATATTACGCCGTGTGAATCGGGCTCTAGAATGTTGGGAGGGACCTCTTCAATGATGACAGTGGCCTCTTGAACGGTGGGAGGGGACTCTTGAGGGATGATAGGGGCCTCTTGAACGATAGGGGAGGCCTCTTGAACGATGACAGGTGAGTCGGGTTTTTTCTTACGGATTCTTCGCACTATTGAGGTGAACGGAGACGTAATGGCACGTGCACGCCGTCTGATGCGTGAACTCCATTTTGCAAGAAAAACCCGATGTAGAGCATCCACCTTAGCATGCCGCTAAAAATAAATTAATACATAAATCAGTAAATAAATAGACATGATATTAAACAGTGAAAACAAAGACAAATATATTTCAAACTTGCACGGTATTCACCCAAGTCATTATTATATCATTGTTCACAAAATACATCAGATAACATTCCAGAAGTAAGCACTTATATAAACATTTAAAAGGACAACATATAGTTTTAGTGCAGGTTCAATGACAAAATAAAGAGTAGTAGTTTATTCTTGAAACTTAAATTTTCAACACTGTGAAGTTAGTATTTGTCTTTTGGTTGAAGTAATGCAATTCATTCAAGTTTCAATTTACAGAAGAAGAATAGAATCAGAAACTTAAAATCGCAACGCGAAAATGACTATCGCAATGCGAAAATGACTATCGCAACGCGAAAATGACTATCGCAACGCGAAAATGACTATCGCAATGCGAATTTGACTATCGCAATGCGAATTTGACTATCGCAATGCGAATTTGACTATCGTAACGAGAGAATCACAATGCGATTTTCATTTCGCATTGCGATTCTTTCATTGCGATAGTCAAATTCGCATTGCGATATTCATTTTCGCATTACGATAGTCATTTTCGTGTTGCGATTTTGTTGTTGCGATTTCATTTCGCATTGCGATTCTCTCGTTGCGATAGTCATTTTCGCGTTGCGATAGTCATTTTTGCATTGCGATAGTAAACTATTCTTCTTCTGCAAATTGAAACTTGAATGGATTGCATTACTTCAACCAAAAGACAACCAAAAACAAATACTAACTTCACAGGGTTAAAGAATAAACAGTTAAACAGTATTGGCAGCAACCTAATGAATTTACTAAGCAATCTAAGTGAAATTACGAGAATATTTATCATCAAGTTAAATATGAAAAATATTAAACTTACCTCGTTACGTAAAGTATGAACCTCGTTCTGCAATGATACTACAATCTCACGTAGAGCTACTACCTCACCACGTAAAGTAGACACCTAAACACGCCATACACTATTGTCATCGCGTAAAGTACCGACCTCCTCACGCAAAGCATTGACCTCATTACGTAACTCCCCTAACTCATCCCGTGGAGGTGGATGTGGAGAATAGGGAGATAAACGTAGTGGCATCTTTGCCGGTCGCCTATCATGAGGTGATGGTGGAGAAGAGGCTCGATGATTTGACAGAATAGGTGATGACTCTCGTTGTGGAGGTGTATATTCGGGTCAATCAGGTGATGGCTCTGGGCGAGGTGATGGCTCTCGAAGTGGTGGCTACTCATCATCCGTGCCATCAAAAAAACACTTACTAGCTTGCCACCAATCAGTGGCAAGCTCAACTTCCGTGGGTGTCAGCCTTTGTAATGGAGTGTTGGCCTCCTAACAATATAAAAGCTCGAACAAAGTTAAACGTGTACTAGTAATAACTTGTTTATAAACATATGGTAGTATTTGTGTTAATTTACATTATTTATTGTAGTATACGGTAGTAAATCTTCCCATTGCTGCAAGGACTGTTTCCTCTTCCAGGAAATAGCCCTAGGAATATCATTAGAAGTTTTTAATGCATATGTCTGCATGGCGGGAAAGGCCTCAAATATCCAAATCTACAAACAATATAATAACAAACATTAGTAATTGTTAAAGAATTAATTATAATTTTAGAAACATTATATTAAAATTATTACCTTAAAGGCCCAAATAAAGCCTGACAAAGTGTATTTGGAACCATCGCCACACAAACTTTTCCGATCATCAAAGGCAGACGACAACTTATTCCATGTAGCTTTCCATAGATACGAACCCCACAGAAACATGTTCCATGCATTTAGGTCCTCTACCAATTTAATTAGATAATTAGGAATAGGTTGTCAGGCCTCTCTGCCTAAAAAGCCGGCTTACAAAAGTATTAGAAGGCATACTCGGACAACATCGACGTCATCCATCCGAGTAAATCCATCTTTCTTATTCAATAACCTCGTCAAGTCTTCCACGTGTAAATTCGACTTCTCCGTTGACAGCTCAGGAAAAACCCGGGAAAACCATGATAGGCGGGTAATATGTCTAGTGTACCGATCTACATCATCGTTTCCGAAGCGTAGACCAGTGATTAAGCAAAACTCCTCCCGCCCAAAACACGTATACGCAGGTGGAAAATCAAACCATATCTCTTCATCACGACGTTGTATAGTCTATGGTAGATCGCTAGTCATGGTTTGAAGAAACAGATGGGTCAACATAGCATCTCCACCCGGATGTTGTACTTTCAGCCATGACCCGAAGCAAGTATCCTCAAATATTTTTCTTTGTGCAGGTGAAAGCTTCGACGCAATTGTTTTGGCCAGGCTTACTTTATTTCTTAAGGTCAATTGAGCCGAATAAAAGTTCTGCAAAAACAATAAACATACCAATTTAGATATACCAAAAACTACACTGTGAAGATATAACAAGAACAATAAACATAAAGAGTAGTAGTTTATTCTTCAAACTTAAATTTGCAACACTGTGAATTTAGTATTTGTCTTTGTTTTTTGGTTGGAGTAATGCAATTCATTCAAGTTTCAATTTGCAGAAGAAGAATAGTTTCTGAAATTTAAAATCGTAACACGAAAATGAAAATCGCAACACGAAAATGACTATCGCAACGCGAAATGAAAATCGCAACGACAGAATCACATTACGATAGTCATTCTCGGTTTCAAATACTAAAATTGAAAGAAACTTGAATGGATTGCATTACTTCAACCAAAAGACAAAACAAAGACAAATACTAACTTCACAAGGTTAAAGACTAAACAGTTTAGCAGTATTGGCAGCAATCGAATGAATATAATAAGCAATCTAAGTGAAATGGTTAATCTATTATTGAAAACACCAGTAAACATATCATCAATTTCATTATGAAAAACCTAATAATAATGCAAAAATTTCAAAATAAAAATAATTAAAAAAAATAACCCTTTGTGGTTGATTTGATTGATTTTTCATTTCTGACCGTGAATGATTTCGCCAGAGATGGAGACTGATATCGTCGGAGATGGGGACTGATTTCGTCGGAGATGGGGACAGATGTCGCCTTAGAGAGTGAGAGATGAAAATGAGACTGAGTTGTGATTTAGGGTTTTAGGTTATGAGTTGCGATTACGGGATATACTGTGGACGGTTCAGTGTTCCGATATATTAATATATTCGTGTTTGGAATTTGAAAAAAAATACGCGTTGGATACGAATGGCGCTATGTAAATCGCATTGCGATAGTCAGATTCGCGTTGCGATTTACGTATTCGCATTGTGAATTAGGAAAATCGCAACGCGAATTTGGAAAATCGTAATGCGATAGTCAGAATCGCGTTGCGAATCTGGAAACTGATTTGCGATACCGGAGATCGCGTTGCGAATTATCGATCGCATTGCGATTTAGTTGGTCATTTTGGCAAATCCAAAAAAAGTTGGTTAAAATCGTATATTATAAGACATTTTTTGTCACTGAGATTATTTTCTCTATATATATTTGTATCGCGTTAGGTTAACTATGGATTTTCACCTTAAATTTGGATCAAGTGGGTTTTTTTTTTTAATTTAATTTAAATTGGATGACGACTGAAAATGTGTTATATTTGGGTTGGGTTCAGATTGAATATAAACTTGGTCTGACCCATGATCATTTCTAATGATGACAGAAAAAAAATTCATTTGCTCGATAACGATAATTAGAAAAATTGAATAAAAGTCACATCATTTGATCATTAATGGTTCAATTATAAAAATAACAAAAATAGTAGTAAATTTTCAGAATTTTGTGACCAAAATGAGACAATGTCTATATCTCAGGGACTAATACTATATTTTACTCTAAATTAATATATTTTCACACTTATCTACAATGAATAGTAACGTGATACGTGAAGTCACACACGCGGCCATTATCAGCAGAAGGTTTTTTTTTTGCTGGAAATAAGAGAAAGAAAGCCTTTCGTTGTTTCAAAAATTATAATTCCTTATTGTTATTTGCCTCTTTAGCTGCAGCCCTGAGTTTCTCAAAAGAGAAGAATCACGAGCACAAAAAACCTAAAACCGGAGGCGGAAAAGGTTTTAGGGGGAGTATCCCGGAGAGAGGATGAGCGGGAAAGGTGGCGGAGGCGGTGGCGGTGGCGGAAATAATGGGTTAGGAAAGGGTAATAATACTGGACTTTCAGGTATTCCGCCTGGGTCTCGGAAGATGGTCCAGAGCTTGAAAGAGATTGTTAACTGCCCGGAACCCGAGATCTATGCTATGCTTAAAGAGTGTAACATGGACCCTAACGAGGCCGTCAACCGTCTCCTCTCTCAAGGTTCCCTCCACTTTTTTTTTAATTTTTTTTTAAAAAAAAGTTATGAAATGTTGTCCACTTCAATGAGCTTATTTTTTGGGTTTTTGGTTAATGAAAACTTTTTTTAGTTATTTATTATGCGAAAAGGGTAACTGCTGGAATTTATGGGTTCAGTGTTTAATTTAGGGTGTAAAGATAAAATCTACTTAATTGCTAGGGTTCTTGGTTTTCTCGGAGTGTTTTAGCTGGAGTGTATTTCAAGCAGTAAACATTATTATAATATATAAGTATTTGCTGATAATTTATTATCTACTTTGGAACTTGAAAGTAGAAGCAGAAAGACATATTTCAAGGAGATACTATCACTTATGTTATTCTCGAATGAATGCAAAAAAATACGTTTCTTTGTTTAATAACAATGGGGCTGCTGAAGTTTTGACTCTTGTACTGGTACTGTATTTCATTGCTAATAAGGTATTTGCAAAATGTGTAGATCCTTTTCACGAGGTGAAGAGCAAACGAGACAAGAAAAAAGAGGTGTGTGCTGCTTCAAATTATGCTACATAGTTGTTTTTTGTGAATGTCGAGCTTGCCTAATTAACCATACGATATTTGTTTCCTCTTATTCTGAATGTTGCACCATTTGAGCAATATAGGGCATTCTGCCAATCATATAGGTAATGCATATGTCTGATTGTTAGTTGGTTTCAACATTTCAAACTGAGTGATAATCTAATTCATTTTTCACAGGACCAACTTTCCCTTTGAAAGCTTTTAATATTTTCTAACCATTGCTGACAGATTTGCCAGTTCTTGTTATATATGTTTGACTTTTTTATCCCCTTTTGTTTCAGAGCAAGGACACAGTCGATTCGAGGTCTCGTGGTGCCAATAACCCTGGGAGTCGTGGCGGTAGGAGTGGTTCAGACCAATATACTGGACGTGGCGGTTCGTCTCATTACAGTTCAAATGGTACAACTTTGAACATTCTCTAATGCCACTTTGGAGAACCGTCACTTTTAATCCATTAAAGAATTTATTTGGAACACTTTTAGATGGTGCCAATAACCCTGGGAGTCGTGGTGGTAGGAGTGGTTCAGACCGATATACTGGATGTGGCGTTTCGTCTCATTACAGTTCAAATAGTACAACTTTGAGCATTCTCTAATGCCACTTTGGAGAACCGTCACTTTTAATCCATTAAAGAATTTATTTGGAACACTTTTAGATGAATTCTTACCAATTGAGTACTCTTTTTTTCTGGTTAGAGTCTGGCCCATCACATGGTAAACCTGCACAAAAGAGAGAAAATGGAGCCCATGCAGTTGCAGCCTCTTCACCTTCTGCATCTGGTATGCAAGGAAATAGCACGTGTCCTCGACCTCCATCCCACAGGTATTACCTGTTATAGTTTCAAAAGTTATAGTTCCTCCATGTCTAGCCCATTAAGGAGTTGAAAAGCAGCTATAAGCTTTGAGTTTAGTGAGTAATGACCTAAAATGGTTGTATACCAAATCATTATTAATGAAATTAGTTTTCTTCCACCACTAATCCTCACTCCTCTCTGGGTGGCATTTGAAATGATCATTATCAGAGTTGGCTAGTTTAGCAAGGACATGTGGGACCCTAATAGTTCCAAATGATTCTCAAATCATCTTAACTGGAGTCTGGAGTCAAGGCACCCAAATATTTGTCAATAACATCTTTCCGAAATTTTAGTTGGCTGAATTTAGTACTCTTTTCCCTATCTTAACTGGAGTTTTGCTGGTTTTGCAGTGAAGTTGTGGTTTCAGAGCATAAAATGTCCACATTAGGTCTAGGTGATGGGATTTCTTCTTCATCACAGCCTACTGGACACCAATCTGCTTGGGTGGGGGTTCCAGGTCAAGTATCAATGGCTGATATTGTGAAGATGGGCAGGCCACAAAACAAGCCTTCTTCCATGCCAAACCCTTCTCAGCAAAGCACTAATAATCAGCATCATGTGGTACCTCCTTCGGCAGCATTACATTCCAACTTCGAGGACCATGTTTCCAAGGAGTCGGATGTTACTTATGAGCCTGATGTCACCAAAAACCAGCACGATTCTCCAAGGGATGAATGTTCCCCCATTGAGATCCCATCTGCTGCTAGTGTGACCTCTGTCTTAGAGGCACCTCTGGAGTCTGGACTCTATGCTAATGCATCTAACTTGCCTTTGGGTAGAAGTAATCAACACCTAAAGTCCCAGTTGGAGGAAGCTCAGGCAGTGGATGATGGTCCTCTTGAAATCGTCAATGGTGACCATGTTAGGTCCCCTCCTATTTCAAGTAGAAATATACAAGAGGATAACTCTAGAAGTTCATCACTTTATGATAACGACTTATATAAGGATATGAATTCGTATCAGCCTCCTGTGCATGGCTTTGAGAATGATGAAGGTCAGTTTAGTGCTTCAAATCATTCAATTTGTGCATTTTATGATGTAGTATACTGCTGTATACTGTCAAAGGCATACACTGAGTTCAATTTTTTTGGCAATCCATTTCTTATCGTCTTGCTGTATGGATATGTATGCTTTTGTGGTTGCTGAATTATCTATGTGGCCTCTGAATTTTATCATTTCCCCCCTTCATAGACTGGATTTTCGAGCCTGAACCCAAAAAACAATTGGGTGAATGGTTGGAAACAATTGAAATATTTGGTGGGGTGGGGGGGCTAGGGTTGGTTTATGAAATAGTTGCACCTTTCTTGGTTCCCCCTTTTTGATCCCCCTCCAAATTATGGTCCATCATATATCTGTATGAATTTAGTTCATCCCATAATGTGGATTTATTTTTCGACATTTAATGCATCCTTTGCTCAGTGTTATCTGCGAAGATGGTTCTTCGTCAGTTGCAATGAATTTGCAGCAACTAAATTTACATAATGATGATCGGGAGCCGCCAACTGAAGAAGATAATCCTTCCCTAATAATTCCAAATCATCTGCTAGCCCACTCCCCAGATTGTTCACATTTGAGTTTTGGAAGTTTTGGACCTGCCGTTGGTTCTGCCTTTTCTGGACCATTTGCATCAAGGGCATCAAAGAATAGTTTAGACGAGGTACCTGAAGTAGCAGATGCCTCATCTATTGGGCACTCAGATAGTAGGTATGCCCTTCTTAGTTCTTAGTGCCTTGTTTTACTTATTTGTTCCTTACAATTGTGTAAAAAATTTTGCTTCCAGAGATCCTGAGTATTATGGTGACAAACATCTCAGAAGTAACTCAGAGGGAAATATAATAAATAGAAGTAATGTCAGCACTGGTAATTATGAAGTTCCTGAAGATTCTCAACTAGAGGTTTTGAATCAGGATGCTTCTGAAGCTGCCCAAGGGAGCCAATATACATTTCCTCCATCTGTGTCTGATTATAACTATGAAAACCCGGAACAGTTGAATCCTGCTTTCACTCATATGCAGACAAGTACTCAAATGCAAAGTCTCAATCCTTTCTCAAGTGTAATGGTAACGTGTCTTTACAAATAAAATTGAATTTATTATTCCAAGCTGATGATTCCATATGCCTTGCAGACTAGAATTTTTTTATATGTAAATTTCTGCTAGATAGCGGCATCTTGAATGTCCCTTCTCTACATGATAATTTTTGTTACAGCAAGAGTATACAAATTCATTGCCAAGCACTTTGTTGACATCAACCGTTCAGACTGCAAGGGAGCCAGATCTTCCATATTCACCCTTCCCTGTGACTCGGTCAATGCCATCAAAATACATCAATGCTACCTCTTCCATTAGTGGTCCAACCATTTCTATGCCAGAGGTATGCTTTTCTTTATTTTAGTAATTTCCTGATTCCTTTACACGTTTTTCAGTTCTAATTGGTTGTTGAATGTATTTAAGGGTTCAAGTGGCCAAGAAGGAAACATATTATTCTTTTTTTCTTATTTCTCTGCTACCACTAGTGTGTGTAATGATCATTTAAATTGAGAGAAATTGGAAGACAAAACTTGGTATAAGTTATTCTGCTCATTTAGTTTTGGATTGTGTAAAAAGAGAGAAATAAGAGACGGGCAAGAAAGGACGAAAATAAAATTATAAAAATAATGTCATGTAATTTAAAGTTTTCATTATTTTCTGATGGTATTCTTATTTCAAGATTTTTTGAAGGAAGATGAAACTTCATATTCTTCTTATAGTAGAGCTGTTTTTAGTGTCATTTTTACTGGAGCTTTACCTTGTAGTGTCATTGTGTATGTAGAGTCGTGCTTTTATATTAGACCAGCTAGCTTTTTGGTTGTGAAAACACTTGTTCTATGGTTGTTTGGCCAATTTGGATGAAATTCTTGGGCTATTGGAATTTTCAGTCGGTTTTTCATGCAGATGCTAAAAGATTCCTATTGGCTTGGAATGACTTGAAGACCAACTCTCTTATCTGGCCATTTATACCTGGAGCTGTTCTATGGACAATTTGGAAGACCAGGAATTTTATAGTGTTTGAAGGAGGGAAGCTTGATCGAGCAGAGATTTTCTTTCTAGCTAGGTGCAGGCTTGCTTCATGGTTTCTAGCTAAGGAAACTCATATTTCTATTTCCAAGGAGGATATTATTGCTGACCCGTCCATAGTGGATTCCTACTCGTCCCATTCTAATCGGGTTTCAACCGTGTTTCCTTGGTCCCCTCCTCCAAAAGGTTTTATTAAACTTAATGTGGATGCGGCTACCTCGAGTGATTGGAAGAGGAGTGGCTTAGGTGGTATTTTGAAAGACATGTTTGGTTCGATCCTTGGCTCCTTTAAAGAGCCTGCTGGTCCGGGGCCCCCAACTTTAATGGAATTGAAGGCTATCCTAAAGGGTTTAGATTTTTTTGAATCTATTCGTCATAGGGTTAAAGATAGATTGATTATTGAGAGTGATAGTCAGGTGGCAGTTGGCTGGATTAAGGATGTGGTTTCTTGTCCTGTTGTTTATGTTCAAATAGTTAAAGACATTATTCAAAAGCTTAGTGTTTTTGAAGGTTTTATTAGTTGGGTTAGTAGGACAGCCAATATAGAGGCGGATGTCCTAGCTAAGGCGGGTATTGGTTGATTTATGCTCTGTTAAGGGCTGTTTCTTTCTGGTTTTGTATCTCTTGAGGGAGATTGATTTGTATTACTTTGCTATATTTGAGTTTAATGAATCCTAGGGCACTCCTTTCCTCCTTGTGTGGATTAAGGAACTACTTTTAAGTTCCGTTAATCACCAAGGGGGTTTTATTGAGGCCTTTTATTCGTATCAAAAAAAAAAAGCTTAGTGTTTTTGAAGGTTTGATTAGTTGGGTTAGTAGGACAGCCAATATAGAGGCGGATGTTCTAGCTAAGGCGGGTATTGGTTGAATTATGCTCTGTTAAGGGCTGTTTTTTTCTGGTTATGTATCTCTTGAGGGAGATTGGTTTGTATTACTTTGTTATATTTGAGTTTAATGAATCCTAGGGCACTCCTTTCCTCCTTGTGTGGATTAAGGAACTATTGTTAAGTTCCGTTAATCACCAAGGGGGTTTTATTGAGGCCTTTTTTCCTATCAAAAAAAAATAACAGTGACCTTTGACTACTTTTGGCCTTCTCTTGTCCTCAATCATGCATCTGTCTCTACCTGATTTGTAGTTTTATTATTGCAAGATTCACTTCTCACAATCTTTGGAGAGATTAGTTCACTGTTTTTGTTATGTGCTTGTGTCCTAGTCAGGAAAGGGAGCTAAAACACCCAAAACATTAAAAAAACCAAGAGTTAGGAGTGACCTTTACAAAGAAAAGAAAAGAAAAATAGAGGGGTGGGGGTGGAAAAAAGGGAAAAGTCCAATTTGAACGCCTAACTAAAAAAAATCTGTAATTGGCTGGATTCGATGGTTATTTCCTGATTAACTTGTTGTACATGTGCAGGCTCTAAGAGCAGCTAGTATTTCTGCACCGCAGCCCACTCCACAGTCCTTGCCTGATGCCAATGTTGCCACAGGACCTGCACTTCCGCAACATTTAGCCATGCACCCTTTTTCCCAACCTACACTTCCATTGGGACACTATGCCAACATGATTGGTTATCCCTTCTTACCTCAGAATTACACGTATATGCCATCAGCTTTCCAGCAAACATTTGCTGGTAATAGCAACTACCCTCAGTCCCTGGCAACAATGCTCCCCCAATACAAGAACAGTGTTTCTGTTAGCAGTTTGCCTCAATCCTCTGCAGCCCCACCTGGCTATGGGTTTGGGAGTTCTCCCAAAATCCCTGGAGGACTCTCTCTCAATCCACCTACTGCACCTGCGGGCACAACCATCGGTTACAATGATGTTCTTAGTTCTCAGTACAAGGACATCAATCATCTGATGTCACTTCAGCAGCAGGTAATTTTCTCTACAAAGCATTGAGAGATCTCGTTTGAATTGAATAATTTTCATTTATTAACCATGTAATGATTCGTGTATGATGTAGTCTGTCCTTCCTTTTTTCCCCCTTTACACCCAAGGATCCTTGGTTTCTTGTACATCTACTGTATTTGTGAATTTAGTTGTTTCTATTTTTCTGTTGCTTTGAATCTGAAGGGGGTGTCCTTTTGTTTGTGTTAAGAATGAGAATTCGGCCATGTGGATTCACGGACCCGGCTCACGAACGATGTCTTCTGTTCCTGCAAGCACATATTACAGCTTTCAGGGGCAGAACCAGCAGGCTGGTGGGTTTCGACAAGGGCAACAACCACCTTCACAGCATTTTGGGTCTCTTGGATACCTGAATTTCTACCATTCTCAAACGGGATTATCGCTGGACCACCAGCAGCAAAACCCTAGGGATGGGTCCCTGAGTGGATCTCAAGGCCAGCCACCATCAAAGCAGACCCAACAGCTATGGCCAAATAATTACTAATCATGCCCCTCCTGGTTTTTCAGGGTCTTGTAGTGTGTTTAGACGTTGCTGATGAAAGGCCCTCCTCGCAATTGAGAATAACTATACGAACGAGTAACTAATACGTCATCGATGATGGATCTGAAGTGACCTTGACTGGCTACTGCCCTGTGCCACGATGTTGTATTCTACATTTTAATTTATTGTTCAGTTATGGTATGTTAACTTAGGAACACAGTGTGCTAATTTGTGGTAGTGGACTCTACTTTTTTCTTCCTCAATTGTTTCCCTGTTTTCCTCTTTTATAGTAAAAATTGCCCTCTTCATTTCATCTCCCATGGCAAGTTTCTTAATCTGAAGAATCTATTGATACCCCTTAACACCATTCATTTTATCATGGAAAACAACCATGGCCGACCGTATCGGTGACCTCAACCCATTTACGAACAAAGCTTGACAGCTTGAACACAAATGCTGCCGTTCAAAATCAAAACCTTCCAAGCGATAGCAGTCCAAACCAGGGTCATCACATCACATGGGGAACATTCCCCGGTGTGTATGTGTCCATTTTGTTCTTCAAGAGTTTCTAATCACCGGACGAGAAGAACCAACAATCAATCGGTAGATAACGAGACCTATAACAGCTTCCAACGAGTCACTGTTTAAAACCTTACGGTAAACCAGCTGTTGTGAAGCGAGGGATAAAACGTATGTTGCAGTACCCACATTGGTGCATATGAAATCGAGTATATGTTTCCCTTTGGAGACTCCACTAGGATTCTCGTTGCCATTGTTTGCTACCAGTACAAGTGAGGAGATGGTAAGGGGAACCAGCGACTTTGTGATGAAAGGAATGAATTTATGGGAATTTAGGAAACACTGTAAGAAAGCATTGAAGGCCAACTGAGAAGGCGATGTCAGTGACACAGTGGAAACCGGCAGGTACTCGAAGCCAACCGAGTACAGATAAGCATTGTGTTATGATTTTAGGTTAAGAGAAAAGAATAGACGAGAGAAGAAACTTAGATTTCAGAAAGGAGAAAATCAATTCATTTCATTTCATAAAAATCATCTCGTAATACATTGAATTATTTGATTACAATGCACTAGATTCTTTCTCCAGCTGGCTGCCCTTCTAACGTCCTCAGCAGCCTTTACAGGTGTCATCGTCCTAGTTGGGCTTCACTCAGCAGGCCCACACTTCGGATCCAGAAATAGCGAATTCCCTTTTATCTCTTTTGTTCTCGTGCCTCTCACGTGATCTTCTTTTAATCGAGTTTTCTCCAAATTAAGTTGAAAAATCCCTAACCCTTCCTTTGCGGTTCCAATTCTCATCTCTTCGCGACCCTCTTCTTCTCCCCCAATCGTGATACATTGCCTGCAATAAATAGTCCGAGATACACAGTTCAAAACCAGCAATGGAAGTGATGTTTTAGTGTTGTGAGATAAATCGAGGGGATTGACGGGATGATAGTCCTTGAAAATTTCAAATTATATATTTTATTTATATTTTTTTTATTGATAATCAAAATTTCTCTCTTTAAATTTTTATAAATTCTCTCAATATAAATTTTACATCTTGCTCCATCTTTCTCAAAGTAGCCCTTGTGAGCAAGAAAGTCACTGTTCCAAGTGCTATTCTCAACCACTTCACCATGTGGTTCTCAGCCGGTTGAGACACTGTTATTTGGATGATGGGTTCACTACTTAAAATCTGATCCTGCAGATTCCATCAAAGGGTTTATTAGCCTAATGATTCTTAACAGAAGAAAGAGCTCAAAAAACCCATTTTTTGTGAGTGGATTTGTAGCTGTCGAGCTCAACCCACCCCCCATCCCCCTTAATTGTCTGCTGCCAAGTAGCATGCATGCATTTATTCATAATAACATCCCCAGTCCATTTAAGGCGGTTACAGATGCAAATCTGTGCAATGTGGTGTGCATTCTATTATGCATGACAATCGGCAACAGTTAAAGGAAACCGACTCAGATCCACGTTCTATTTACAAACATCAAAATTTTTATTTTTATTTTATTTAAACATCAAAATTTTTATTTTTATTTTATTTAAAGAATCTAGTTGATCATTTCATTAGATCAATTGATTCACCCTCTTGCATTATAAATATATTTATTAAGTTGTTAAAATGTGATTTTCGCAATTAAAATCAATCGTTTTGATATATAATTGGAGTGACTACTAATTGAGATATATTTAAAAGGGTTTATATATATATATATATATATATATATATATATATATATATATATATATATATATATGATAAGTGACACGTGATTGATTGATTATAAATTAATAAAAAGTGTGTTTTGAGAAAAATTATAGATAGGGAGCAGTTTATCTGTTTAATTAATTCACCAACAAAATAGCGTATCTGTTAAGGTGAACTTATCATTAAAATCATTGTTTTGAATCAATTCAATTTGGGTTGAGCAGGACAATTAAGCAACACGAATCAATTAACGATACGTTGCACTGTAGATTTAGCAATTGCTATATTTTTGTGTTACATTCATTTTTAAATATTATATAATATTTTAATACTTGATAAATCATGTTTAACAGATTTAATTGATATCATCAGAGAACATCACCTTAACAAAACTCACCATGTGTAGATGGAAATTGAAAAATCTATCACATAACCTGATCTCCAAAACTCAGAAGGAATAACAGGCAAGAATAATAGAACAAAACCTAGTCTCCAAAACAAAATCACGCATCTAACTTTAAACCAACTTATTAGGTATCTGCCATGCTGGGGTGGGGAGCAACCGATAAATTAAAAAAAAACATGTCGACAAGCGCCTTCAAGCAGTTTACGCTGTAATCGACATTGGCTCCGAATAGCATATGAAACAAGTCTCAACACTCTCACTCACTATTATCAAGAAAGCGACATCAATGTCCATCCTAATCATCCACATTTCTATTGCACCCAAAAGGGCACAAAAAGAATATCCTAAGCACATCAGGCATAGCATCAATATAAAAGATTATATCTTCCGGCTCCCCCCTTTTGGTGTACTCGTTTTATGCAAGGAGAGATCGTGTAAGACGTTCGCGTGCAGTAGCCAATGCTTGAGTTATTGTCTGTACAACATTGAATGTGTTAATATGGTGACAATGGTTATTGATATGTTTCACTAGTTAAAGTATTCAATTATGCATTCTGGTGGATGATATAATATATAGGAAAATGAAAAATAGGAACATATGTTGCTGGTTTCAGGAACAAGAGCCATAGTACCTGCTCCGACAATGACGCTCCATCATCCATACTATGACTAGCAACCTTCCCAGCTATAACATTTGCATCGGTTTCAAGAACGATACTGCCAAATAGATAGAAAATAGTCAAAATGGATGATAAGACAAGCATCCAAAGGAGACATTTGCTTCTAGGCTTCTAGCAACTCCCTTTTTTTATTGGAGAAGAAAAACCATTCTATTAAGTGTTCCGGGAAAGGGAACAGGATTCGTCAAATAGCAGTATCCCAATCCCACAGCTATGGCAAAACCATGCTCCCCCAGGGGTTGCTTAGTCTTTTTTTTTCTTATTTAACTAACCCCACTTTCTAGTTTCTTATATAAGAATTAGAACTAAGGAGCCTTGGAAATATACTCGGAAAACCAGCTGAAAAGATAAAGTAGGAAAAAAATATGACTTGCTAATTCTATACAGAAAAGGAGAAGCAAAGAAGATCCAAGGCTTAGCTAACAGCTCTTTTAGTCTCAATCTAGTTGAAACTCTGACACTTTTGCAAAAACTGTTTAACCCTTGTTTGACCAAATTCAATATAATTTCTTTCTTTTTCTTTTCCAATTCAATGCATCCAAACATGATAAGTAATAAAAAATCTAAATGCTAATCTTTTTTCTTCTGCCGACATTCGCAATGGCATTGTCAAGGGGGGAAAATGTAAGAATAGTAGTCAACCAAACGGGGGAAATCAAGGGAAATTTCAAGCCAAGAATTGTACTAGAGACACTTCTTCTAATAACAATTACAAGGAAAGAAGAATGGTCTACTCAGAAAATCAGGAAACATAAGTATTTAATTTCAAAATGAATGATAATTCATACCCGCCATCAACAATCTCATCAAGGCACAAGAAAATGAGATCTAAGTTCTCCAGCACCTCCCTCTTGTCCACAGTGCCTCTGGAGGAGGAAAAAGTCAAAATTAGGCAAGATGATACCATGATACCACTCAAACATGTATCAAAAATGGTAAAAGTAGAAAGCGTTATGAAAAAACCTAAGGATAAGTCCAACTGCATCAAAAAAACCCTGGAGTACTGAGGCCAAGATTATCTCATTTTCATTTTCGCCTCCCGTAACAAAAAAGTGAAGGTCTTGAACAAACTTGTAGACGACCACATAGTTGTCAAACATCGTTATCTCAGCTGTAAAATAAAAAAAAATTGAAGCGCGTGTTAGAATATTAGTATGAACCAGCACTTAATCAACACCAAGCAAGGATTTTTCCTCATCCACCAGCATAAAAGCAAGGCTCAAACTTTTCCCTTAGATTAAATAATCGATCCACAAGCGAAACAACCTTCCAAATTCTCAAATCCAGTGAATTGTTTAACTTACAATTGAACATACCTTTCAAACAAATCTACCTGATTTGCATTATACAATCAATCAAAATGTAAGGAAGCATCAACAGATAAAACTTCCTTAGCAGATCAAACTGACCTTCGTTACGTGCACTAGTCTTTTGGGTTTTGGTAAACACAGTTTTCTCAAAAGCTTCCTTAGCAGAATTCGTCGGCCAATCATCCGAGTAATACTTCACAGCTACACGGTTTCCTTCGGAATCCAAAAGAAGGATGTTTTTGATTAAAGGGCACAACTCCTACAAACAAAGATCATAAAATTTTCAATTCAGAAACAAAGCTCATATAGATTCAACTAATCAAGCTAACCAAAAACCTAAGATAACGCCAATTTAGTTCCAATCCAGCTCTCAAATTTGAGTTACAGCCTGAAATCTTCAATTCTTTTCAAGTCTAAAAGAAACGAATTGGATCTGAATCTAATTCTTAGAAAAATAAAAAAGAAAAAAGAAAAAGAAAATTTAAATCAAATGCGAGGTGAATAAGTTTAGATCTGCATTAGAGATAGCCAAACAACATATACAAATCAGATCTCCAAGCAAATAATGGAAGGGAAAAGGTCGCAAGGTACGTTCAATGAAAATTTGAAAGATTGTTAAGTTAACAGAGAAAGCTGACCATTTTTTCTCGTTTGGCAAGATTTTCTCGGAAAAAATCGGATTCTTGTTTGGCGGAACTTATTGACTGTAGTTGATAATGCTAAGGGACGAAAAACAAAGGGATGTCGGCGTAAAATATAGAGATTAGTGAAATGAAATTTGTTATTCTTACCGCTATTTTCAGATTATTTGTTTAACCCCTCTTTAGTTCCTGTAATTCTATTTTTGTCCCCAATTATTCTTACTCACAATTTATTTATTTTTATTTCGGACCACCTAATGTCGTGTAGTCACATTGGGTACGGGGTAAAGGTATCTCTGGGATGATCATAAGTAGGTTGAGTTAGATTTTTAATTCAATTGAATTCGATTTGAGTATGATATATTTTTATTTGTCATTTGATCTAATTTGAGTTTAAAGAATTACTGGTAAAATAGACTGCAAAATAACACCGTTAGCACTGACAGGAAAGATAAATAATAATTTAAAAGAAACATATTGATAAACCGTGTCGTGGTAAAACCACTGCCTTAGAAACGAATTCGCCCCGATGTGTGTAATCGCTGCAGTAGGCGGACCGTTCCCCAGAGGTTAACACGGCTCTCCAAGAATTCGTACACCCGAAAATTGGAGCGAACTTTGTGGTATTACTCTTCTCTCAACTCAATCAACACTCAAAAGAGAACAGTGTTTCAAAGCAAATGTTTGCTTAAACTAATTTTTAAGTAATTATTTAAGTGATGGCAAAATTGTCATTTCTAATACTAGTGGAATAACCTAATTTGAGCATATTTACAAGGTTAATGGGATAACCTAATTTGAGTATTATCAACATTCCATACTAGTGGATTGAGCATTATTAACATTCAATACTAGTTGAATGAGCATTATTAACATTCAATACTAGTGGATTGAGCATTATCAACAAAAATCTTTAATGACTCGAAGTTACACTCTATTTGAAACGCGCATCTAGCCCATTACAAATACATATAAAAGTGTCGATTGAATAACTTGACAAGTGAAGGGCTAAACTAGTAGCACATCATCCTTTCACTCGTAAAAATTTTAGACGAACCATAGATATCTGGATGAATAGCTTGAAAATTTTCAATCAAGCAGTCAAAAATAGCTAACGAACCACGAACCATCTTCATTAAGATCATATTTGGTCATATAATCCGTGGCAACATTTGCATTCCTACGCGTCAATTGGAACTCTACATATATCGATATAATAATTTATTTAGATCTGAATGTTCAAAAACTCTCCATCATGGTAAATGCTTATATCCTCACATTCGTGATGTTCAAACCTAAAACCTCGAAATAACAACAAATATTTTAATTATTAAAATCTCTTAATTGTTAAAAAATTATTCATATAATTTAATTGATTAATCGATTTTACTTTTATTTTTTAAGACACTTAACCCTCAACGTGACAAATATAAATATGTTATATAGAGTTTTAATACCACGTTGTCTAATTATTTAATATATCATATTCAAATTGCCCATATTAGTAGACACGAGCTTACAATTCAATCCACGTTATAACGAGCTAGAACATCATCTTTACGTTGGATATTTGGCTTTTTGATAGCCTGAACCACACCCGTTGGCAGCGCCTATCCATTATCCATGTTGGGACCCTTGATGGATTGGTCCCTAGCTTCATCATAGTATGTGATAACTACAGATACATAGTGTCCTTAAGCCGTATCCTGTTGTGGGGCATTTCAACAAAGTTGTCACCCACTTGAAAAAAATGGTGCTTCATGAACCAGGACCCTCTATGTGACATTTACTGCATCTTCAATTCAATGTTCAAGCATCCTAGGACTCTGTTCTCAAAACATTTTACACAGACCAGCAAAAATAGAAAGCGAAGAAAACATGGTATTAATCCATGAGATAACCTTGTGATTTTACAGTAGCCTCCTGTCCTTTTAATAAAGAGTTTGTTCCGGCCTTTTCGAGTACCGATGTTAACCTTTTCGACAATCGGTGGCCGGTGGGCATGTTTTTGCATCAAAGCAAATCGTGAGCCGACATCAAATATCTGAAGAAAAAAGGAAACATTGGTTGATCTGAATAGAAGATGATAGAATTGATATGCAAGAAGGAAACATTGGTAAAGTAGAAGCAATTTAACCTCCCATATTGATATGCAAGGCTTTATCCCGGAAACTCATCAGTGAAATCAATTAATTCTCAATAGTTTGATGATGGGAACCATTGGATAGGATGAGATGCTCCATTGAACATGCATGCCACCATTCTCAGAAGGAAGATATTCAAAACCCCAATTATATTATACTCATACTATGTCAACAAGATCATATCGTCATAATCTTAGTTTAATGGTGATTGTGTTTTCGGTTGAATCGGTTTTTCAATAGTCAGAACAGAGCAAAAGCCAAATCGAAACTATCCTAAATGAAATTTAGAGCCAAAGAGGCCAATGCAAAAACACCATCAGATAAAAATTGCAGATCAAATTCATGAAAAAGGAGCAAAAGCCGATTTGGGTTCAACCCCAAAGCTTTGTTTTCTCGCTCCATAGGATTTGAACTCAAGATCTTACCAGCGTTGGTAGATCGACAACAAGTTCACTTCTAAGTTTTCCGATTACTAGAATCAAGTCACTATTAATCCACAAACCCTAAATCATCATGCAACCACCTAACACTAAAAATGCAGCAATAATCGAAGTGTTTTTATTCATATTTCTGGTAAAAACTTACCTAAAAAATCGATGAATCTTCCATTCCCAACTATGTCTTTGATGTCGGTTTTTGCAACAAACCAGTCAAGTAAACTTCCCCATGCTTCAAACCACTAGGATCTGTCTTGTTAGCCACTGCCCACTTCACTTTCTTATACCCAAGTTTCCCTATCAACGGCCCATAAACTTTTTCCAGATCCACCGCTTTACTAAAGAACCGGTCCACCCACAAATACCCACCGGCTCGCAACACTCTATCCACATCATACAACATGAACTCCAACACCGGAACCGGTATCCACCGGTTCACCGCCCTCCCACACCGGACCAGATCCATCGTCCCATCGAAGACCGGGAACCGCTGCTGCAACGGCACGTGTAAAGGCACCAACCCTCGTAAAGCCACGGCCTCGTTGTAAGGAGCATTGACGTTCATGGTGGTGGTCAGCATGGTGACGTTGTAGGATTTCTTCATTACAGCGGCGAATGTTCCGGTGCCACCGCCTATGTCTATGCCGAGACGGATCGCCGAGTTAGCTGATTTAGCTAATTGCATGAACTGGGAAATGGGAAGATCGAGCTCGCAAGTGTATTTAAGCAACGACGAGCGTTGAGCGTTGAGATCGAAGCCCGTGGGATTATTTTGCAAGAGACAAGTAAAAGATTTACACGAGTATTTGTTCCAAATGACGCCTGAATCAGGGAGGGATGTCGGGAAAGGGGTTAAAGGCAGAGAAGAAGGCTGTTTCGACGGGGTTTTCGAAAAGCACCGTCGCCGTGGGAGCGGGTGGCAGCCGTTGAGAATAAGCGTTTCCTGGAGGTCGGGATCGAAAGGGCAAGTCGAAAAAGGAGTGTAATTCATGTACTTATGAAGAAGGTCAGGGTGGTTATGGCAGGAAGAAACAATGGAACCAATCTGTGAGTGGAGGATAAGATCTTGAGGCACAGCTGAAGCCGGTTTCTTAGCGGTAGCAGCCGAGGACGGGCTATGGCGCGTGAGGTGGTTGATGGTGGCGCGTATCGTATTGAGCTGTCGTATGAGGTTGTCGGGGACGGGGGCGGGAAGCGGCGGCCTTGGGGATTGAACGGTGGAAGAGAGATGATAAAGGGAGAGAATATTGGTGGCCACCATGACTACGAGGAGAATCAAATTCAAACCCATAGTGAAACCCATTGAATTCTTCTGGTTTTTCCTCTACTAAGCTTATCTTCTTTGTTTCTATGATGCTTCGATTCTTGTAGTTTTTTTTTTTGCGTTTCTCGATCTTCGTGTAACACTTTGCTGGTTTTCTGATTATTTTGTCTGATTCTGATCTTTTGGTGATATGATTTTGGAGGTTTAAGCTTGTTTTGAAGTTCGATTCTCAGTCACTTCTTTCAGCGTATGTGGTTAGGCCTGTAATCGAACTGAACGCACATGAGGTATGTTCATGTTCGTTCATTTAATAAATAAACGAACATAAACGAACACGAACATAAATGAACACGAACATAAACGAACAAATTTTTTTTTTGTTCATGTTCGTTTATTAAGGAATATAACTTGTTCATGTTCGTTCATTTAATAAATAAACGAACATAAACGACCACGAACATAAACGAACACGAACATAAATGAACACGAACATAAACGTTGGAGACCCTACCTTCCATTGTTCTTTCATGAAAGATAGTCGACAATGCAAATCAATCAAATCTACAGTGATAAATAGCGTAAGAGTTGATTAGCAATAATAAAATGTTTGAAGATATCAAATATTTCGATCGATCTTTTAAAGATATTAAATGATTCACATGACTTTAATCTAACGCTATAACATTTATCTTAGTGGTCCATGATTATATATGAACAATCATTTTTCACTACTTTATTCTAATAAATTCATCGGTTAAAAGTTTTGTGACATCAATATCAGACTTTAGTGAGGTTTGTTAATAATGGTCATTTCCGTTGGCAAAGTAGAAAATTTAACAGCATTAAGATTTCGAACGGTACAAATTGAACTACAAGGCAATAACATAGATCCGAAATCCCTTCGATGCTACATATCGTAACTGATATTATTGCTAAACCACCATTCAAAATTTTAACGTACCTAAAGTCTACTCCACAACTAAATATCACACAAGAACTATGAAAAGAAAAAGTTCATTGTTAAAGTGTATTTTCTACTTATTAACGGGTTCTTCCTAGAAAACCCATTACTTTCGCTATTACACTCTTTTCAGAAATTACATAGAAACCTTTGTTTTGTTTTCTAACAAATTCTATATATTTTTCTCTTTGCTGATGTTCATATATTTCCGATTGTAACATTTATCTTCCTATCTATTTCTAGAAAGAATTATGATGTTTTATTGAGTTTTAGATGTGAAGATACCCGCAATAACTTTATATATCAACTATTAAGCCAAATAAAACAGAGAAAGATGAAAATAGACCTGTAAAACTTCAGATTGCACTATAATATAACTTGTTTTGAAGCTTTCAACAATCGTCTCCACTCTCTAGTGAACACTAGAGTTTGAGAAAAAAAGGGGAGAAATGAATATAGGTGCGAGGTGCCTCACGGGTTAACATATTGAATTTAATCTCCAAATAAAATTGGGTTAATTATAGAGTTGGTCATCAGAATATCAGATTAATTAATATTTTTAAGATACTTACAAATTGATCACCAAAATTGATTTAAGAAGATTGGGTTAAACATAAATGAATGAACATAAATGAACATAACCGAACGAACATAAACGAACATAACCGAACGTTCACGAACGTAAATGAACGAACGAGACCTATGTTCATGTTCGTTCATTTAATTAAACGAACTCAAAATCTTGTTCATGTTCGTTCATTTAATAAATAAACGCGCATAAACGAATTTCCCACCGCACGATTCACGAACGATTCGCTGAGTTTATTTACAGGCCTATATGTGGTTCATCACGGGTTTGTTTTCTTACAAGCTTCGGCCATTTTAGTACTGTTTGGGTTTAATTTAGATGTGGATTGATATAAACTTTCTGGGTGGGGCTTGGGAGATTGAATATGGACCGTTGGTTTTAATCAACTGAGGCCACCCTTCTAGTATAGAAGTTAAATAGATTTATATCATAAATAAATACTTAAAGGATTTTTTTATCAAAATAAGTACGTAAATTTGTCCTTTTAGTCCAAATATATATTTAAAGTGTTTTTGGTCAAAGAAGATACATGAAGGGTTTGTTTCACGGAATGTAAGATTATAAATAGAAATTAAAGATTATCAGTGGGAATAAAAGATTACCAGGAAATAGGATTACTGGGAATGTTGTATTTTGTGTTTGGTTGGTTTTGCAGGAATGTAAGATTACCGTATTTGGTTAAAGGAATAAAAGATTATTGGAATGTATATTGACCAAATTGTTCTTATTATATATTTGTTTTTTAACAAGTTGAAAATATTTGTATATTTTCTTTAAAAAATTTAAATTCATAAAATTTATATAATTTTTTTTACAAAATTTAAAATATAAAAAGATTTAATGATTGGGTAAAATTTTATTTTATCTCCTGAATTTCATATAAAATTTTAATTATAGATTTTTTTTTTGTAAATCTAAAATAGTTTAAGGATAAATTTGTAATTTAATCTTCGTAGAATTTTTATTATTCAATGACATAATAAAGATATTTTTGAAAGAATTTTTTTTAATGGCATTTTAGTCCAAAACGTCGGTAATCAACAATACCTAAGGAAAGGGAGGTAATAACATTCCTGGTAATATACCCCAAAAAATTCACTATTGGTAATGTAAGATTATCGGGAATGACATTCCCGGCCAACCAAACGGGAGAATGTGGATTTCATTCCCATGAGAATCTCATATTCCCCAACCAAACACACCCGAAGTATTTAATTTTTCATCTAAGTTTTAGAAAAATTAACATGTGATATTATTTAAAGAATATTTTAGGTATTTAGATGAAAAAATTGAATATTTCAAGTATCTATTTTAATCAAAAAAGTACTCAGCATCTATTTTGGCAAAAAAAGATAAAATTAGATATTTATTTTGATCAAAATATTTTAAATATTTAAATAAAAAAGTAATGGAATTTATATATTTATTTATGATATAAGTAAGTTAATAATTATTATTAATCTCATTGTTCAAAATGTTTATTGTAAAATGTGTTCTATATTCGCAAGGGGAAATCTATAAATTTTTTATTCTATATTAATCACATAATTTGGATTTTTAATCCTTTCGTGGTGACATATTGTAGACACCTAATTTTCGTCCTTTTATTAGGAATATTATTATATTATATAATTATATATATATATAATATTATTAATTCTATCATTTGAATTGTACAGGCCCACACCCCACATGTGCAACCCAGCAGCAACAAACCAGCAGAAACCTTAGCAGTTTCTCCACCAGCGCCGCACTTTGCACAACCGTTTATCACGCAACAAACCCCACCATTCTCGCTCACCAACAAACGAGGAAGCATGGAACAACAAACCCGTTAGCAAGCAGTAATTCAATAGGAATAAAACGCTAAAAATAAAAGTAGTTGAGTCCAAATCGGACTCTAAAAAATAGCCGAATCTAAGGCTATAAAACCATGTAATTCCCATTGTATTGGGGGATGGTACACGAAAATACGGTGAAAATACATATGAAATACAAGCATTTTCTTTTACGAATATTTAGAGCATTCGAAACTTTCTTATTTTTGCAAAAATTCGAAAAGAAAATACAAGACAGAGGAACATCGAAAAAAGAAAAATTTACCTTCGTGCTTCCATCAACAGCTGTCCCGGTGACCAGAAGGAAGATCGAAGGCAAGAAAGCATAATCGTTTCGGCCTTTCGTCAACATCGGCGACGTGGGGCACACTGTGACCAGTTTTGTTTGAGAGGGCTAAGAGCCTCTCTAATCTTTTTGAGAAGAAACGAATAGCATCCTTGGTTAGGTTTCGTAAGAAAAGGAAAGAGATATGTTTTGACAAGAAAATTAGGTATACAGTACGAAAAGAAGTTGCACAGAGGTATAGCTTTTTGTCCTCAATTTGTATAGATTTCCGGTTTAATATTTTGAATTTTTGAAGTTGTTCTGTGATGTGGAGGTTAAAAGAGGAAATGACTACTATCTAGAAACTTTGGTGGTAGTGGATGTAGATATTTATTATAGGTTACCACCATGAGAAGTGTTCAAAACAGGGAGCAGTTGGTTACTTTGACCCCCATGTCTTCTTGTAGTTGGGGACTAAAAAATGAAATAAAAATCATTGTTTTTTTTTGTTTCTATATCCACGTGAGCCTTGCCTTTCAATGAGGAATTCATGCTTCAGTACCCAGGTTTTGATGTAGTTGATTTTGGTCCTTTTTGCTTGAAATCGAGTGTTAAATCTTGGTAAATTGATCCACATACAATTTAATCCATGTTCATGCTTTCATATTTATGCAACTAAGTCCTACTAATCTTTTATTTTTTTCCTTGCAACTAACTTTTAGCATCAATTTTGATTTATTTCAATTTGGTCCTTTACATTATTTCTCTTTATTTGTATTTTCTTTAAAGTCTAACATTTTTTGTTATTTGTTTTATTTTCCCACTTCTTTATTTATTTTTTTTCATTTCATTTAATTTCTAATTTCTATTTTATTATTATTATTTATTATTATTATTATTTAACTAATTTTTACTCGATATTTTTATTTACCATCTAACATTTTTTTATTTTCCAGTAGTAATTTCAATTAATCAAATGTAAGTAACTAGAATCGGATTTTTATATTTCAATTTAAATTTTTAATATTCGTAATTAAAGACAACCGATAAATTAATTGGTATCGAAAGGACGGTTCAAGGGTGCTAATCCTTCCTTGACCGTAACCGACTCTCGAACCCGACATGTTTCTGGTACAACACAGATCAAGTAAGATGGTGTCCGACCCACCTAAATTCGTTTTAAAATGGTCGGTGGCGACTCTAACCCAATTATTCAAGTCGAAGCCCAATTACGGGGCCCAACCGAAAGACGGTTGCGACAACTTGGCGACTCTGCTGGGGACAGGTAAGTGAGTCAGGCCAGAATTAATTTTCGGTTATCTTTTTATGCGAAAATTGTAAATTTTAATTTTAATTTATTTATTCAATTCCATATATTTACCTTTTGATTATCTTTCAAGTAAATAGTTGTACTAACGTTTGTTCAATGATTTCAGATTTTTTAAAATTTTCATCTTTGGCTCTATACCCGAGCTCCGAACCCGTTTTAAGTGGGGGTGAAAGC